AATTTGACAGCAGTATATCCTTGTCATTCTCTATACAGAATGAAAAGGAGAGACTGATGTTAAATTTAGTTTTATTTATGAAAAGGATAGACTGATGTTAAATTTAGTTTTATTTATGAAAAGGAGAGACTGATGTTAAATTTAGTTTTATTTATGAAAAGGAGAGACTGATGTTAAATTTAGTTTTATATATAAAAAGGAGAGATTGATGTTAAATTTAGTTTTATTTTTGAAAAGGAGAGACTGATGTTAAATTTAGTTTTATATATGAAAAGGAGAGACTGATGTTAAATTTAGTTTTATATATGAAAAGGAGAGACTGATGTTAAATTTAGTTTTATTTATGAAAAGGAGAGACTGATGTTAAATTTAGTTTTATATATAAAAAGGAGAGATTGATGTTAAATTTAGTTTTATTTTTGAAAAGGAGAGACTGATGTTAAATTTAGTTTTATATATGAAAAGGAGAGACTGATGTTAAATTTAGTTTTATATATGAAAAGGAGAGACTGATGTTAAATTTAGTTTTATATATGAAAAGGAGAGACTGATGTTAAATTTAGTTTTTTTATGAAAAGGAGAGACTGATGTTAAATTTAGTTTTATTTATGAAAAGGAGAGACTGATGTTAAATTTAGTTTTATATATAAAAAGGAGAGATTGATGTTAAATTTAGTTTTATTTTTGAAAAGGAGAGACTGATGTTAAATTTAGTTTTATATATGAAAAGGAGAGACTGATGTTAAATTTAGTTTTATATATGAAAAGGAGAGACTGATGTTAAATTTAGTTTTATTTATGAAAAGGAGAGACTGATGTTAAATTTAGTTTTATTTATGAAAAGGAGAGACTGATGTTAAATTTAGTTTTATATATGAAAAGGAGAGACTGATGTTAAATTTAGTTTTTTTATGAAAAGGAGAGACTGATGTTAAATTTAGTTTTATTTATGAAAAGGAGAGACTGATGTTAAATTTAGTTTTATATATAAAAAGGAGAGATTGATGTTAAATTTAGTTTTATTTTTGAAAAGGAGAGACTGATGTTAAATTTAGTTTTATTTATGAAAAGGAGAGACTGATGTTAAATTTAGAATAGGCACCATTATCAAGCTAATTCATCCTCCTTCTTACCCTTCCCCTCCAAATATTATTTACTATTTCTATATGTGTTATACGCACATATAGGTACATCTAAATTCTTAAGTGTCATTGATCTTGACGTCGGACCTCGATCGAGGTAGACCGTAAGAGGTAGACACCTAGCTAAGAAATCTTTTTCACGGTCTGAGTAATCCATTTAAGACAGGGGGCTACATTTATGGGGGTTATATTTAGTATAAAGCACAGGAGTTTACTAAACAATTCAAATTATTTTAAAATATTGATTCAGATATTTAGGTCATCATATTTAGTTCTAGTTTGACAGTTAATTTTATTTTTCTACTAACAAGGAATTTTTATATTAGATAAATTAGTTTTACCTACACTCATCTCGAAATATTCATAATGACGAATTAAACTTATACGTACTTTATAAACGCACATACATAAAATTAAAAATAAAACTCATTACAGTAGGTACTACCAGATGTCTCGTAATATAACTTTTTGAATATTTAAAATTCAAATTTATTTAATGCACTAATGCTTAGATTAAAACATTTCTTTTAAATTAAAACATTTGTTTTGATCTAAGCAGTCATGCGGTTTAATCGTCATAGTACACTTTTATTTTTTAATTTATTGAATTAGACTATGTTAATAGGCTGAATGTAAAAAAAGGCGCACGCATTCGAAATTTGAAATTAATTTCTCCTGCGGCCCATACAATCTTCTGTCCATCATGTTTCATTTGCGGGATTTCAGAAAAGTTTTGCAATATAATTCTTTGTTACTTTGTTTGATTTCAATTGTTCCTATGAGTGAAGATAAAGTAGCGTCTGCCACTGTATATAATTTAGATATTGAAACACTCGAGTCAATTCGGCTTCGCCTCATCTCGCCTCATCCCTCAAGACTCTCGTGTTTTAATACTCCTTCTTATACATATAATATGACAGTCGCATAAAGTAGACTATACTGTTATTATATCACCTAATTCTGGTATTATTATGATATTGGTAGAGATCGCGCCAAACTTCTAGTCCGCTCTAAAGATTGACGTAAATATAGAGATTTTTTAACAGCTGCATAACGTATCGCAGCTTCAATGTTTCTATGAAAACTAAGCAGCGCCTCGCTTTTTCCATTTTAATTATTTTTCTTATCGATAGGTCCGACATATGGCTCCGCCCTACCTGATGTTAAGTGACGGTGAAGTCCAGACGTGAAGATAGCTGGTACAGCAGTTCTACCTGCCACACCAGCCATCCTCACCCTGCCGGCCTGCATGTTGCTCCTTCACGCCTCTTTTAAAGGATCCCAGGTTGTAAGAGGGAGGGAACACGTGAGCGGGCAGAGCATTCCATTTCCGGATAGCGACAAAGAAATGAGCCACCAAATTTCTTTGTACACGTTGAAATTGTGGCCACAGTTAGACGGTGACAACGTAGGCCAGCTCGCGTGGTCCTCTGAAGGAAAGGGGAAGGTGAAATAAGAGAGAATACATACGATAGAACGCGCTTAGTGACGCCACGTCACGGCGTAATTGAAGAGGCTCAAGGTGTGATACAAGAAGATGACCATTCGTTACGGAGTTGTCAAAAGATCGTGCTTGGGCCTCTGAATTACAGATCACGCCAATATTTTTACTTGTACTTATGTGTTCGATCACGTACACCTGCGCGAAGCAACTTCACAGCGGACTAGAAGTTCGGCAAGATCTTTATTGAAGTTAGACTGATATAATTATTATAATGATGGTGTTACTCAAATTATGTAAAAGATTGGTGTCTAAAAATATAACTACTCATTTCAAAGATTGAAATAACAGGTTGAACTAGGTCAGAAACTGATTGACACATTGTTATGTAATGTATGCGCAAATAATGATCTAAGTAGACACATATGTTAGAGTTATTCTCCTTTAGAATGATAAATACGGCCTTAATTGTGTTTCTGAGTAAATGATTAGTAAACGAAGGCGCAGTATCCTGGAATTTGCCGGTCATAGGAAGATCCTCTGTGCTTCGGAAGATACATTAAGTGGTTGGTCTTTGCTGCATCTTAAATTTTTCGCACTCACCAATCCGAAAAGGGTCCGCAAGTTGGATCATGGCTCACGGTTCCCAATTTAGGGGTTTTGCCCCCAGATTTAGGGGCTAGAAGGGTGAAAAAGCTGGGGGCTTTAGGGGCTGGAATTTTTTGGGGTTTCTTTTAGGGGCTTTTAACAAAACTTGCAATTAAATAGAAAAACAAAGCACTGTGTTTTCTTTCAGTTTTGTGCGTAGAATGGAACGTACCACGATATGAAACAACTGAACTGACTGTGTGGCAGGTTGTTTCCTAAGGCTGTATGGACTTAAGTTCTTTGCCTTCCGCCAATCAAAACAGCTAATTAAGATTTAACAGCCCGTCAGGTCATTTTCAATTGATTTTCCATTCGGAAAATGTAATTAATTATTCAATAAATTAATTTACTGTAACTAAATATGTAACGTTTTAATTTATGAGCAACGAAAGAATTTAGGTAATAAGATAATTCTACATATAAATTTCTATATTTAGGGGATTTTAGGGGAATTTAAAAAATACTTAGGGTATAATTTCGGTAAGGGTTGGTACCACTGTCATGGCTATTATATCCATAGGAACGGCTTCATCCCCAAAAGGGGGGGGGGGGGGGACAATGGAATAGATAGCCGATGTTAGGAATGGTAACATAAGAACACATCGACGGGTGCAACGTAAAAACAGACATCTGCAAAATATTAACTTTACAGGAGAGCGAAAAGATCGTAGAAGTGTGTTATTAATCATAATAATCATAATCAAAATCATTTATTCAGTTTAGGCTGTTACAAGCACATATGAATGTCTAGAAGCTACGCCATCGGTTCGTAAATCTACGGCGGGAGACCTTGTACTGAGAAGAACCGGCAAGAAACTCAGCAAGGGCTGTTTTTTTCTCCCTGTTTTATTATTTACAGAGTCTTAAAATTGAAAAATGACTTCAGAGGTGATTCATGAAGTCACTTTTCATTACATAATTATTAAATATACATTAATTGTTTACCTGCATTTTGATTGCTGTGTCATACAGTATAAATACAAATAGTGTTAATTATATTCAGTGTAACTAAACATTAACTTCAATATTAAGGAAGTTAGGGCAGATTCATCTCCGCTGGCAGCACCCGTTCACGAGCATGACGCATGAACCAGCCATCGCTTCGCTCAACCATATTTTAGGGAACGTAACGACCCGCCTTACACGACACCGCCGAAGAGACTATTATGAGAGCATGACTATTACTATTATATTATTTATTATTTTTCTAATGAGTGGACCAACGTAATATGTTCGCATTGACTTCGTACTATTTGCAAAAAAATGCGTAGATGGCTTTTTATACGTTGGAAAATTGATTGAAATGAAGGGAAATCTGCAAAATAAAATATGTCAGGTTGTGGCGGCTTGCTTGATTAGTACGAAAATGAAATAAAAAGAAAAACGTGAATTTGTATTTGACTTTATTTACTTTGCACCCGTCGACATCTATACTTATAATAAATCTGTAGAGATGTCAATTCTGTACATGAAATATATTTTAAAAATAACTATCAGGGGGTGATAAGTGATCGATACTGATGCCAAAAATGCAATCAGTAAAATTTTTGTCTCTCTGTCTGTCTGTCTGTCTGTGTGTATGTTCCTTATAGAAACAAAAACTACTCGACGGATTTTAACCAAACTTGGTACAATTATTCTTCATACTCCTGGGCAGGTTATAGTATACTTTTCATCACGCTACAATCAATAGCAGCGGAGTAGTGAAGGGAAATGTTGGGAAAACGGGAGAAGTTACTCCATTTTTTAAGCTTCCGTCGCGGGTGCAGCCTTAATGGTTAAAGTTACATAGAAATCATGTATGACGAAAATATTCTACATAAAATTGTCTAAAAAATATCCCGCAACAGCATATGTCTATCTTTTATGGCTGACTCACAATAACACGTGTAATTATATAAATAAAGTCAATGTTTATAGCACAAGCCTGAGAACAAAAACTATAGTTTACACTACAGCTCTACACCGAAGCGAAGCGAGGGCGGGCCACTAGTATACACATATATTAAGAAATTGCCGATATTTAGGCTTGGTATATGGACTTGTGTCAGAGCTTCTTAACCTACGGTTCTGGGATTGTGGCGAATATAGGCGCCGCACTATGTGGAGATCGAGTCGGTTTCGGGTCATAAATCTATAACTTCCATGTTTTTATAGATATACAGCTGATTTTTTTTTTAGGTAATCTGAGATAAACGTACTTTAAAATAATATACAGTCTATGCATATAAAAATATATTTAATAATTGTAAAAAAATACAAAACATGAAATATTGAAAAATTATCATAAATTTACGACTAATTTTAAACAATGTGACCTAAATGTTATAATTAATACAAAATAAACACATAAAATTACTCTTATTAATTAAATATAATAAGAAAAAGAAAATAACATAGAATTATATTATTCTACTAGCTCTACAGCTTCATCTATAAGTTCCGTAGACTTTTTATTGGAAGGTTTTCTTAAACTTGTTATGTAAGGGTCTGAAGTGTACAAAAGTGTATGTAAAACGTCTTCATTTGTAGCTACTCTAGAGCATTTTCTAGCATGATGAAGTCTGAATCGTTTATAGTCTTTGTTCCTTGATTCCTGGGCATCTTCGGAGAGCTGTCCAAGAGGTAACACTGAATAATGCCAAATTACACTTTCCCCATGAATTAGGACTTTATGGACAGATGATGGCATATAATACCACATATATTTACTAACATATCGTTGTACTGTATCGAAAGCATACTGTCCAAATTTCGTAGCATTAATTACTTTTCCGCTAGACATAACTTGAAGTAAAACATAAAATCGTTTTATCAATTCCTCATCCACACCGGTAATTTCTGCAGTGCACTGATAATTTTGAAAAAATCGTCTAGCTGTATTACCGTCATTACTGTTACCAGAACCTTGCTTAGGTTTATCTATGTATAAACCAAGTTCTTCTCTGAACCTTCTTTGTACATATGTCTTCTTTTGTTTTTTCAAATCTTTATTTTCTGTCGTTGTAGCAGACCATTTTTCAAAGCCTACATTATAAGATATATGTAAAATTAGTTCCATGAATCTAATCCAGCAATGTAAAGTCGAAAGCCCATATTGATAAGAATTTTCGTCAACAGGTTTATTTAGTACTTTTTCTAAATTGTTCATCTCTGTAGGTCTTGCACCACAAATAGTACATACAGCACCTGATGAAGTTTCTGACAAAACTTGAGCCACTTTCCCGTCAACCATTGTCAAAAATAATGTGTGTTTGATTTCAATACATTCACCATTTTTATTGATTAAGCTTGTTGTGAGAGCGTTTCTTTGAGCTATAATTTCATTAACTACACTTGTAGTTTTCTCTGGTGTCTCTTTTGAAAATTCTATTAAAATGGGCCTACAAAATCTTACTGATGATGGAACAGGGTTTTCCCATAAAGTTTCATTTGTATTAATATCAACAAGTTTCAGAGGTACTAATGAAGATATAAATAAATTTGTGTCAGAAATTAACTCATCCTCTTCAGTTACGACTTGCTTGTATTCACTTTGTCCGCTTGAGCCATCACAGCCCCATTTCGAATACAGCATTAAATGTTTTTTGCCAGCTTTGTATACACCATTGATTTTCAAAATTCTTGCAATAGTGTGATCCAGCAGATCTTGCAGTTTTATTTTTGCTGTAATATTATTAATTTCTATGCTTGATCTTGGTGGGTAGCACATTCCTTTAGCTTCCTGAATTGATTTATATGACGGAAATAATACGCAGTTCTTCGCAATTAAGCAATTTCTCATGTTTTCATACTGTGCCATGTTAAGGTCCAACTCTATAAAAATACTGAGAGCTTCATCTTTAGAGTACGCTGTTAAATGTGCCGGTTCATTTAAAAGATTTTGACGTATTTCACTTTTTTTATCTATGGGTAATACTCGTAAAATTTCGACAATGAATGCTTCTTCCGTTTCCCCTTGAGATCTCAATCCTTGAAGATATGAATTCAGTATAAAATCAAGGCCACATGTTTCAAGCAACTCCTTGTTTTTTCGTCTTTGTGTTCTATCGAAACTGTCTTCGTAGGTTTTAGAAGGGCGTCCTCGCTTCCCCGTCGATGTCGAAGGTTCAGATTCACAAGTAGGATCTTCCAGATTTACTGTGAATGTGGCATTCAACCACAGGCTATTCTGATTTAAAAAATTTTCTTTATTACTGCCAGATTTAGTGTAGCGTTGACGAAAGTTCGTAATAAGATTTTTTTGTACACTCGCGACAATTTTAGCGATATTTGCCTCAGAAAAGTTGATAAAATTATTCCGTATATAACTTGTTAAAGCAACAACATAATTCCCGTCACTTTCAATCAAAACAAGACATAGGTCGCGTCTGGTACATTGGAATTCACTCATTGCGAGAGAGTAGGTGGTTAGATACACTTTTAGTAACGACAATAACGAACGAAAAACAGTATGTAATTATTCAGTATGCAGATGCTCTATTTTATATTAAATAACTGATTTGAAACGTATGCAAAATATGGGAATAAAAACTATTTATCATTATGTGGTTACTCGGTTTCCTATGTGTTTTATTGATAATTTATTTTGTAGGCGAACTAAAAATGGTGAGAAATACTCGATACATTATCAAAACATAAACCGCAATTAATAATATATCACAAGTGTAACCTATATCAACGAATAAAACAAATAGATTCGCCCACGTATTTTTAAGAAATTATTACTATTTCATGTTATGATAGATAGCATTATGTTGTGTAATGAAGTTGCAACTTTTTTTTTGTTCCTGTATAAAAATATTAAATTTCCTATCAAATAACATCATTTACAGACCTTCGGCAAATTTCGGCAACTGTCAAAACTCTAATTGAAAGTTTCAGATACGCAAAAATGATATGTCATGAGATAAATATTTCTAGTAAATATATTTATAAATATATAGCATATTTGTGTATACCAAAAAAAAGTATATATTATAAGCTTTCTAAAACGGTATAATACTTGTATAATTTTTATTGCTAGCTTACTAGAAAATCATCCTGAAAAAAATACAAATTATGATGTTTTCGTGATAATTTTTCAATCATCGTATTTAGATGCTCTTTACTATAAAAAAGTACTAGTTACATACATAATTTATACATAATATAGTAGATCAACTTCTTAGCTATAGTTTAAGGTATAATACAAGTACCTGCGCCGATTTTTACAAAATGTATTTATGGCCAAGCTCTCTTAGGCACCTCCACATAGTGCGCCGGGTGTCTGTTAAAAGGCGGTTTTGATGCAGTTTTCAACAAATTATTGTAATTCAAGAGTAGCAAGAGGTAGGTTTTAATATATAATACTTGCCAGAGAATAGTTACTAGTCTGCACCGAAGCGAAGCGAGGAGCAGTTATTAGCATCCGATAAATTGTAAATAACGAGGTACCTTTATCACAACTTGAAAATAAAAATGAGAAAATGATTTTTGAAGTTATACTTCTTTAGGCGCGTTATGAAAAAAATATGAGAGTGAAATTTTAAGATAAGAAGTTGGAGCGACCAACTTCATGCGTTACTTTTGTGTTTACCGCACATTAAGAAAATCTACCAACAAAATAGAAATAGAATCTCTATTTAGTGGGTGCTAACGACTGCATTGTGAAGGCCTATCAAAAGTATTTATTAATCTGGAACAACGGAACCAAAGCGCGATTCAGGAGACTACAGCGCCATCTCTTGACCATTGGTGTAGTAGAACCAAAAACCACATCTTTATTTTTTGTAATAAAGTAACAGTTATAGGTATTCATATTTATAATATTTATCCACATGTTTCTAGTTTGTATATTCGGAATACGTGTTTGAGTTTCATACAAGTGCAAATCACATATGTTCTAATAAATTATATTCAGTAGCGATTTTAATTGAATATTTTGATTATTTATTTATTTTTTCAAATTAAAACTGAACTTTATTGACTGTGTCCTTTTCCAGACTTTTTATTAATTTATTGTAATTAATTATTTGCATGCAATTAAAAACTAATTTTAAACGATGCCAAAGAAGGATAACTTCTCACGCGCCTACATAAGTACACGTACCTATTTTTTTTATTGGAAGTAACAAAAATTTCATCTAATATATAAAATTCTCGTGTCGCGGTGTTTGTGGTTAAACTCCTCCGAAACGGCTTTCCCGATTCTCATGAAATTTTGTGTGCATATTGGGTAGGTCTGAGAATCGGACAACATCTATTTTTCATCCCCCTAAATGTTAAGGGTAATCCACCCCAATTTTTTTTTTCAATTTTAGATTTTTTTTTATGATTCATCATATTAAAATACATACAACCCTAAATTTTCACCACCAATACCTATTTTTTTATGGTGGTACGAAGTTCGCTGGGTCAGCTAATCTTTATATAAATAATTCTTCTGTGAGTGTGTATGTCACTGAACTTCTCTTAAACGACTGGACCGATTTTGATGAAATTTTTTGTGTGTGTTCAAGGGGATCTGAGAATGGTTTAGATTCACAATTTTGTCCGCTGGACAACCCCTATTTTTTTAGGGCGGTACGAAGTTCGCTGGGTCAGCTAGTTTATATAAAAAAGTGTAACAGTTTAATGCTCCTATTAAGAGCATTAACTTTATATATTTTTCGCAAAAATCTATCGATAGAGCCGATTTTTGGTTTCAGGTTATAATGATCTGTTTTCGGCCTTGACTTGCATACCCGAACTGGGTCTCATTTTGGAGGTCATTGATCGAACGGTTACGGTAGAAGCTGTTACCAATTTAAAAACCAGA